CTTCCCTGCAACGTCTGGTTCCCAAAGCATTTCTGACTCCACCTGCTGTTTGCCAACATGTGCAGGCAAACCTGGGCAGCTCACCCATTGCATCCAGGCACGCCAGGGAATGTTCCGAGCCAACTGTTGCTGTCTTTTTCTGTCAGATGCTGCTTCAACTGTTCCTGCTTCTGTGTGCCCAAGACAGCACCAGCATGGGCAGCAGCAAGCACTTGTTGGCAAGAAAACGATGCAGCCGAACGAGCGGATGAAATGTCTTTCCAGGTTTTGGAGTTTTGGGGATTCTGTTGAAACTCGTCTCTAGGGTTTCGGTGAGTGCAAGTGCACTTGTCCTGTCCTATCATGGAGCTCTCTCCTGGTGGGGCCTCTCTTTGCGGCTTTGGGTCCGAAGCCAGCTCCCCGTGCAGAGATGACGATCTCTGGAAAGACTTGATGGAGATGGCAACCCCCCCACTGCCGCCGGCGGCACCAGAGCCTACGACTGTGTGCCTGGGCAGCACAATGTCTTGCAAGACTCCTTGGCAATGTGCTTCCGGAGTGCCTGCATGTTGTCGACTCAGGAACGGGTACTGCTGCCGCCGTGGATGCCTGGCACTGTTTGAGGAGTCTCCAGCACTGAGAAGTCAGCTGCAGAAATGGACTCAAGAGCTGAACCAGAAGACATTGGCGGAGAAGAACGCCTTCTTGTTTGGCCTTCTGCGGCAGATGCACCAGGGCAAGGAGTCTTGGCTTTTCCTCGAGAGTTCTGCCGCTGACTTGCACAGCCTCCCATTTGTTTTGACTAAGGATGGTGTCATTCAGCAGCGTTCCGCGCAGTGGCAGCTGTTTGGGAACAATGTGTGTTCACTGGCCTGGCAGACATTGACAGGTGTCTCCAGGAATGTGCTGCGGCGTCTTTTGACGCACGCCAAGGGCGGGCACACAGAACCACCTGCAGACGGGCGCATGTGCCGGGATGTGCGGCCTCAGCCTGCAGCTGATCATGTCCGGGGATTTATCACGTATCTCTACGAGCAGCTAGCTGAGCCGCTGGCAGAAGGAGATCCTGGAGAGACAGAGGATCTCGAGACTGTGCTGGCGGATGAGTTCGGTGGCATGCTCAAGGACGTGCAGCTCCCCGTGGACTCGGAAGGACCAGTTGCTGCGATTCAGCTCAATGCTCATCGTGAGCAGAGGTATCTCGCACTTTACAGAGTCACTGGTGTCCTTTCTCTCTGCCTCAGTTTCTGGTCCGTCTGTCGGTCTGTCTGTCTGCTGGTCTGTCTGTCTGTCTGTCTGTCTGTCTGTCACTATGTCTTCGGGTTGACAGCAAAGGTTTCTGCCACACATGAAGTTCGCGGAGATCTTTGACATGTACCAGTACATGAATCCCCGCGACACCCGTGCCTGCATGACTGTTTGCAGAAAGATCTATGTGTCCGAGTGGAAATCCTGCATGCGCATCCGCAAGAAGTCGCAGCATGCTAGATGCAGTGAATGTTTCTTGGCTTCAGTGGACAGCGCAGGGACCCAGTGTGCAGATTCGTCTTTTGTGGCCTGGAGTTGTACCTGTGTAGGATTTACCCAGCCTTGGTCCATTGCAGGTGCACGGTTGTCTGCTATGCGCTCAGCGCGAATGAGCCTGGGCGACAAGAATGCAGTGCAGCATGAGCTGCAGCTGCACAAACGCAGCATCAGCGAGGACAGGGCAGTTGCAGCACGGCTCGCCAGCTACAGCGAGCATTGCACTGCGAGTGGGACAGATGTCGCTCCGGAGCGTGCTCTTTTGGCAATAGCTCTCGACGGCATGGATCAGGCCAAGTTCAGGTGCCCGCGGAACATCTGCATGAGCAAGGAGTTCGAGGCACTCTGGAGGCCGCAGCTGCACATGTCTGTTATCGTGGTCCATGGAGTGCTGGAGCTGTACCTCCTGGGGGATGCCGATTTGCTGAAGAACTCGGATGCCAACCTTACCATGATCAGTGCCTTGCTCCACACCTGGTGAAACGCTGCCATAGTAGCCCGTTGTTGTTCAGCATTCTTGTCATGTCGCTTGCATCCCAGGCATGGCTCTGGACAGGACCTCTGAGATCTTGTCTGCTCGTGGTGTGTGCATGCCGCATCACCTAGTGGTGCAGACAGACAATACAGCACGCGAGCAGCGCAACCAGCACACGGTCCTAGCTTTCGCAGATTTGGTCTGTCGTGGGATATTCGAGTCTGTGACCCAGAACTATTTTCAAGTCGGACATAGTCATAACGAATGTGATCAACGCTTTGTTGCGGTGGCCTCTTGTCTGTCTTCTTGCCGAACACTGCAGACTCCGGAAGAGTTTGCGCGGTGCATCAGGGAGAAATGCCGTGCGTCACGCAACAGGCACATGGAGGTGGAGGTTGTGGATGGCTGGCACGACTGGCAGAGCAGGATGAAGGCAGCCAAGGCAAGCGTCTCGGGCCTGGCTATTCAGTCCAAAGGCCAGGATGTCTGTCACAGCTTCCGGTTCCTGCGGCGTTCAGCCTTGAAGAACATCCCGGGCTTCACTGCAGATGCGTGCCATGGCCTGGCCTCTCCAAAGGACTGCTTCCTCCTCTGCAAGCGGTCCATGCATGACGTGCAAGTGGCCCAGGATCCGTTGCTGCTTCTTTCTGCTGCACAGTCCCGGGATCTCTCATCGGATTTGCAGACACTGCCACGTGCACAGCTGGGAGAGCGGGCGCTGAAGGAGTTCCAGAAGACAGCAAGCCGCGTGGAGGCTCTTGTGTGGTTCTTCTGTAGGGGTCCTTGTGGTGGGGGCCAGGGGTTATTTTTGTTGCAGTGAAGGTGAGGCCTTGGAAGTTGGGAGCAGCTGCGGATTATCTCCGACATCTCTGCCAGCAAAATCAGCAGCAAAGTTGGCCTGAGGCATCTGTGCTCGACTTCGTCTTTCAGGATGGTAGAGTGGACCAGTTAATGACTGTGAGCCCCGATCTCATCGCGGAGCTGGCCAATTTCAGACCAGGCCTCCCTCGCCCTGTTGCTGTGCGTTTTGGGCCTCGGAGCATGCCCCCGTTGCCGCGGCCTCTTGTGCGTGGCACACTCTCGGAGTCCGAAGAAGAGGACATGATCGGTGCCCTAGGCCCACGTGCTAGGGCAGGCAAGGCCACAGGGTCCCGTCCAGCCAAGAGGGCCAGACCTGCAGCTGTTGAACCTGCCCCAGAGGCCTGGCAGGCTTCACTGGTGGAAACCATGGAGCATGCAAAGCTGGCAGGTGAGGACAGGGCACATCTACAGGCAAAGTCCCCTCCAGATCCTGAGCCCCCGCTGCCTGCAGACATGGACTGGGAATCTGGCTTGGCACAGACGATCTTCGGTCCTACATGGGCTGCGGATCTGACACCTCCACGTCGAAAGACCCTGGTCGAGGGAGGAGGTGTTGAACACAGCCCGAGGAAGCTGTCACCTCCGAAGTCCAATCCGCCGCTTCCCCGACCTCCCAAGTTCTTGGAGGATGACGAAGACTCTCTTCCGGGCAACTTCGTTGCTGTCAAGCAAGAGGAGCCAGAAGTTCCGCTTCCGGCAGCGGCGGCCATTGTGGAGCCAGATGTTGCTGTGAAGCCAGAGGAGCCAGAAGTTCCGCTTCCGGCAGCGGCGGCCATTGTGGAGCCAGACGTTGCTGTGAAGCAAGAGGAGCCAGAAGTTCCACTTCCGGCAGCGGCGGCCATTTCGGAGCAAGACGTTGCAATTCCGTTGCCGAGTATCTTCCTGGACGATGACAATGACGTCGTGGGAGAGATGTCTGCACCGGAAAAGTTCGATGCATCCCTTCCGGAACTTCCAGACCCTGGATCGGCTTCCGTTGCCAAGGCCATGGCAGTTGTGAATTCAAGCCCCAGAAACCTCAAGCATTCCAAAGCACATGCGGCCCGCCAGCTGCAGGTGATGAAGCAGGGCAAGGTGGGCAAGACCGGAGCATGCAAGGCCAAGCCGAAAACTGCTGCAGTAGGCAAGGCGACAGCCAAGGCTGCAGCAGGCAAGGCGAAAGCGAAGGCTGCAGTGGGCAAGGCAATTGTGCACAGAGCCTCGACCATCATGAAGCAGGACAAGCTGGGATGTAGCAAGTGCAATCATACATCATGCAAGCGGTGCATCGCACTCCATGAGCTTTGGAAGACGCAGTATGGGAATGCCTAGGTCCTGGGTGCTAGGGCTGCGGGAGGCCTCTGCTGGGCACAGGCTAGACTTAGGACCTGGAGAGACAAAGCAGAGAGTTGATTTTTGCATCAGAAGCCTTCTGCCCAGTAGATGCCGCTGACACTGCCTTTTGATGTGTTTCAATCCGCAGTGCGGGGAGGCCGCAGCTGGATTTGTAGCAACAATGCCAGGATGTCATTCATATGTGTTCCGGTCTTCTTGTTCATACATTATGCACCAAGTTCTATCAACCAGTTGCAGATACCAGTTGCAGACGCCGTGTTTCTTCTCGTGCACATCGGTGCAAGCAAATTCGTCTTGGAGAGCCGGCTGAAGATGTCGTGCTCCTTGCGACACGTCGCAACAATACTGAGACAGATAGTATGCAGCCGCAGGGGAACCGCGGTGCGGGCACTGGCAACAAAAGGGCCTTGCTTCCGTTGAGTTTGATGGCCTAGTGGTGTCATGTGCAGAAGTGCGAACCATCCTGACACAACATCAGGCCGTGAGCTTGGTGCAGGGAGCCTGGAGTGTGCTTCTTATGCATGCGGCTTCTTTCGGACACACACACACACACCTCTCCAGTGCAAGCAACCACACAGGTGTTTGAAGCAGCATGGATTGTGCTTCATCTGCATGCGGCTTCATTGCGACACACATTTCATCAGTACATGTGCAACCCTAGGCGTGCTTTGTTGGCAAGCTAATTCGTGCTGGTTGTCATGTAGCTCTCTGTACTCCTGAGCTGAGCAGGTGCCATGGGTTGATCGCCTATGGTTTAGTCTGTCGGTGTACAGTGCAGCACAGCGAACAATCACCATCAGGCCACGAGCTTGGCACTGACGCAGGGAGCCTGGAGTGTGCTTCCTGTGCATGCGGCTTCTTTCGGACACACACCTCTCCAATGCAAGCAACCCCGCGGGTGTCTGAAGCAGCTTGGACTTTGGTTCCGGTGCTTGTGGTGTCTTTGTGACAGACGCATCCCGAGTGCATAGAACCACACGGGTGTTTCAGGCGTGTGCTTCCTGTTGTTGCGGTTTCATTGGGACATACATGTCTCCAGTACATGTGCAACCCTTGGCAGTCTAACTCACGCAGGTTATCATATAGCTCTGTGTACTTCAGGGCCGAGCAGCTGCCATGGATGTACCTTTGCCATCTTGGTCCGATGGTGATGACGATGTGTCATCGTCGAAGTCGAGTAATGCCGAGCTGCCGCCTCTGCCAGAAGTTTCGGATGCCGACTCCGAGGGCGAATGGGGTGTGGCAACACCTGAAACGGTGGCCCAGCGGCCAAGCAAGAGATGCAAGTCCGAGAACAGAGCACTTCAGGCTCTTCCTCCCGCGCCGCTGCCCACAAGGTTGCCGCTCTACGGGGACGCTTTGATGGAAGTATTTTCTCCTCCCCGCTTAGTGCCTGTTGCAAAGCACTACGGCTTGCGTGCTCAACACAGCTTTGACAAGCCACACTGGGATGCAGATCAGGAGAATTGTCGCAGGTACATACATGCGGTCTTGGATGAGCAGAAGCCCTACATGCTCATGTTGTCACCAGAGTGCAGAATGTACAGCATCCTGCAAAGGAACTGCAACCTAGCCAGAATGAACCCTGCTGATGTTGCTGTGCAGCAAGAGACAGCAGACCAACACATAGCACTCTGTGCGGACCTCATGCTGAAGCAGGCAGCTGGGAACCGAATGTTTGTATTGGAGCAGCCATCCAGTGCGTCTAGCTGGCACTTGCCTGCAGTGCAACGTGTCCTCCAGGAGGTCCCATCTGCAAGAATCATCTCATTTGCTCAGTGCCGATTTGGTCTGAAGGATCCCGATGGCCGCCCCCTGCGCAAGTCGACGAAATTCCTAACCAACATGGCATCCGTGATCAAGCGCTTTGCAAACGTGCAGTGTGTGTGCAGATTGCTCGACTTGGAGCATGGTCGAATCCAAGGCCAGATGAACGTTTTCCGCCTGCGGACTA